TTCAAAAAATTTCCTATGATCATGCAAGATCTATCTAGGAGATGCTTAGCAATGAGAGGGGAAGAGTGTGTCCACGTACCCTCGTAGACCGAAAGCGGAAGCGTTAGGTTAACACGGTTGATGTAGTCGAACGTCTTCACGATCCAACCGATCAAAGTACCGAACATATGGCACCTCCGTGTTCAGCACATGTTCAGCTCGATGACGTCCCTCGAACTCTTGATCCAGCAGAGGGTCGAGGGAGAGTTCCGTCAGCACGACGACGTGGTGACGGTGATGGTGATGTGATCTGCGTAGGGCTTCACCTAAGCACTACGACGCTATGACCGGAGGAGTAAACTGTGGAGGGGGCACCGCACACGACTAGAGAACAATTTTTGTGCCTTTGGGGTGCCCCCTGCCCCCGTATATCAAGGAGGGGGTGGCCGGCCAAGAGGGGCGCGCCATGGGGGGCCCTACTAGGATTCCTAGTCCTAGTAGGATTCGCCCCCCCCTTTCATTTCTTCACTGGAGGGAAAAGCAAGGAGAGGGAGTAGGAGAAGGAAAGGGGGTGGCGCCCCCTTCCCTAAACCAATTCGGCCTCCTCCCTTGTGGGCGCGCACCAGCCCCTTGTGGGCTGGTTAGCCTCCCTCCTATGGCCCATATGGCCCATATCTTCCACCGGGGGTTCCGGTAACCCCTCTGGTACTCCGGTATGTACCCGATACACTCCGGAACCCTTCCGGTGTCCGAATACTACCTTACATTATATCGATCTTTACCTCTCGACCATTTCGAGACTCCTTGTCATGTCCATGATCTCATCCGGGACTCTGAACAATCTTCGGCCACCAAAACACATAACTCATAATACTAATCGTCACCGAATGTTAAGCGTGCGGACCCTACGGGTTCGAGAAATATGTAGACATGACCAGGACACATCTCCAGTCAATAACCAATAGCGGAACCTGGATGCTCATATTGGTTCCTATATATTCTATGAAGATCTTTTATCGGTCAAACCACATAACAATATACTTTATTCCCTTTGTCATCAGTATGTTGCTTGCCCGAGATCCGATCGTCGGTATCATCATAGCTAGTTCAATCTCGTTACCGGAAAGTCTCTTTACTCGTTCCGTAATGCATCATCCTGCAACTAACTCATTAGTCACATTACTTGCAAGGCTTATAGTGATGTGCATTACCGAGAGGGCCCAGAGATACCTCTTCGATACACAGAGTGACAAATCCTAATCTTGATCTATGCCAACTCAACAAACACCTTCGGAGACACATGTAGAGCATCTTTATAATCACCCAATTACGTTGTGATGTTTTATAGCACACAAGGTGTTCCTCCGGTATTTGGGAGTTGCATGATCTCATAGTCAGAGGAATATGTATAAATCATGAAGAAAGCAATAGCAATAAAACTAAACAATCATAATGCTAAGCTAACGGATGGGTCTTGTCCATCACATCATTCTCCTAATGATGTGATCCCGTTCATCAAATGAAAACACATGTCTATGGTTAGGAAACTTAACCATCTTTGATTAACGAGCTAGTTAAATAGAGGCATACTAGGGACACTCTGTTTTGTTTATGTATTCACACATGTACTAAGTTTCCGGTTAATACAATTCTAGCATGAATAATAAACATTTATCATGATATAAGAAAATATAAATAACATCTTTATTATTGCCTCCAGGGCATATTTCCTTCAGTAGCAGGTGCATACAACTTGCAAGATCGGATTAAGAACACAAATAAATTCATGAAAACATAAAGGGTTCAGATCTGAAATCATGGCACTCGGGCCCTAGTGACAAGCATTAAGCATTGCAAAGTTATAGCAACATCAATCTTAGAACATAGTGGATACTAGGGATAAAGCCCTAACAAAACTAACTCGATTACATGATAAATCTCATCCAACCCATCACCGCCCAGCAAGCATACGAAGGAATTACTCACTCCCGACGGTGGGCATCATGAAATTGGTAATGTAGGATGGTTGATGATGACAAAGACGAACGATCCCCCTCTCCGGAGCCCCGAACGGACTCCATATCTGGCCTCTGGATGAAGAATAGGAGGTGGTGGCGGCTCCGTATCGTAAAACGCGATGAAACTTCATCTCTCATTTATTCTCGAGAAATAGGAATTTATAGTGCTGAGATTAGGATTAGCGGAGCCATGTGGGCCCTACAAGCAACCAGGGCGCGCCCTGGTGCCTCGTGGGCAGCAAGTTGCCCCTCTCCAGTGGATCTTTGCTCCAGTATTTTTTATTTATTCCATAAACAATTTCCAAAAAGTTTCATCCAATTCTGAAAACTTTTATTTCTGCACAAAAAACAACATCATGGTAGTTCTCCTGAAAGCAGCATTAGTACGGATTAGTTTCATTCAAATCGTGCAAATTAGAGTCCAAAACAAGAGCAAAGTGTTCGGAAAAGTAGATACGACGGAGACGTATCACTCCCCAACACGGTTGCTCCTACCCATTCCTCAGCAACTAGCCAACGTGGCTACATACCCAAAAAAGGCCAGTCCCAGCCCATTCATACCTACTACTATTAAACAAGCAAACATATTCATCACTAAGTGCATCCAGTCTAGCCTACACATAACAGCACAGAAGAGTTACAGCCTCCCGATCAGATCACATAATTTTATAACCGTCGAGATTACACTAATCCACATGAAAAACTGAGTTTAGCATTTTTTTCTAGGCAGGCGAAAACTTTGTCATTTCCACGTCCACAAGAGCAGCAACAAGGGATCCCACCACCGCGTAATTAGCGCTAACATCCTGTGTGATTAGAGCCCAAAGGTCATCTGCTCGAGGACCCAAGCCCCTTGCGCGCTCACGATGGAGAACTTCGTAGCGCATCGGCCAATGGCTGCTCCGGTCGCCGCCCCTACTCATGAAGGCATCGCACACCGAGAAGTCAAGGGAGTGGCTCATCGATGCCTTCCTCCTCTACTTGGTGGCCTCCATGGATGCGCAGACCATGTCGCCAGATCCGTGTTGGCCGACCGAAAGGGTCCCCGAAGGACGGCCGTCGGCCGGAGCCTCGCCATCTACCTCCAACAACTGTCTGATACCCCATTGCTACTGGCACGTCATGCACCTTCCCAGCCAATGTCGTCGGCAGCCTCACGGATGCCGACATCGCTGGGCTTCCTTCCCTCCCCCCTCCCTTGCCGGACCTCCCGGCTCCCAGCCGCCCGCATGTAGCACCGACGCGATCCCCGTGGCCTTGTCGACACCTCCCTGAGCAGGCGACCCACACCACAGCACTCTCAACTGCACCAGGTGCTTGTGGTATTGCCTCAAAGAATGCAGTGTTAATCTTTTCAGCCAATGTTTGCAAAAATCGTTGCGTCTTCGGCGTATAAACTAACACGCAACTTGACCTCTCGCCCTGACAGGGGAGCTAGTATCCCATACTTGATAACTTTGGCGATCAGATGGTGCAGAGCGTCAATTGCGAGGATGAATAGTAGCGGTGAAAGGGGGTCACCCTGCAGCCCGCGGTGATGTCTAACTAAAACTCCTAGTGCCCCATTAACCAAGAAATACGACGGTGTGGATGACAGAAGCAAAGCAATCCAGTCACGCCAGCGTGCACTGAAGCCCATCTCGTGAAGAAGCTCAAGGATGAACTCCCAAGATACATGATCAAAGGCCCTTGCAATATCTAGGTTGATTAGAAGTGCTGGGTTTCTCTTGTGATGGAGGGAATGGGCGAGGTTTTGGATGTACAGGAAATTATCATTTAGGCACTTTGTCTTCATAAACACGCTCTGCATCGACGAGATGAGCGAGCCAACTTTCTCTGACAGACACATGAAGAACCTTAGCAATCCATTTTGTAATTGAATTGATCAGACTGATTGGCCTGAAATCCCCCATTGCTTTGGCACCATCCTTTTTTGGCAACAGTGCGGCGAGGGCCAAGTTGATCCGTGCAAAGTTTGCTCCCGGCATACTATGAAATTGATGAAAAATATCTATGATCTCTTCCTTGATTATGTCCTAGTATGTTGATGTATAATGTGCTACCTAGTCTCTTTCATCAGATCAGTCTTTCGGTTGCATTGGTTAGAACATGCACTTCTACATGGTATCAGAGCCAAGATGTCTTAAGTTCAAGACTAATGTGCTGCCTAGTTTCTTCTATCAGATCGGTTTTTTGGTTGCATTAACTAGAGCATACACTTCTACAACTACGAAAGAAAATACCGTTGAAGCCATCAGCTCCGACACCTTCTCCGCCGGGTAGGCCAGCATGGCCGCCTTCCATAAAAGGGTTGTCGCCCTCCACCGGCCACCTTGGGCAGCTACAACCCACGCTCCACTGCCACGTTATTCTTTATGAATGTTATCTTCTTGCACGCTCCACTGTCGCGCTTAGGGGGTACTATGTGTGTTGAGAGCGTCTCGTGGGCTCCCTGTGCGGACGTGGGGTTTAATGTCGTGTAAGTAGTTCGTTGTGGTATGTCTACTCTGGTTTTTGCCCGATTTTCATAATCAACAAGGTAATTCTCTTCTACTTAATTAATCATTGAGACGAAACGTTTGCCTCCGTTTAAAAGAGAAGAATATTGTGAGGGATGACTGGTGAATGGACTGTTTTTTGTCGGCACAATCTGTCTTCTTGTTCGTGTGTTCCACATACAGTTCAGAATAGAAGTGCATTGAGTCGATTCCGACCGATGAAAGTATGACAAGCTGCTAAATAACATGTCTAATAAGATAAATTCAACCGATAACCGAGCAGTAACAGCGGCATATATACAAGTCGCGGGCATCTTGAGAGACATTGCTTGACACTTCCCCTTAGCTCCTCTAGCAGGTTACACATGAAGAAGCAAAAGTGAATGAAGAAAATAGAAGGCATAATAAAGACTACTCCTTCCATCCCATAATATAAGAGCATTTTTGACATTGCATTAGATGTAAATGCCAAATAGCACATCGCTCCCAAGAACAGTTCGCCCTGTTATTTCGACTTGACGATGAGAACGGGGCAGTTGGCGTTCCTGACGCAGTAATCGCTGACACTCCCGAGGAGAGCCCTGCAAAACCAACGAGAATTCTTGGTCACACGAGCACTACTCTGACAGGAACCTGAAGTGGCGTACATATTAGAATAGCTACAAGTAATTATCAGTTGAGCAATCCCGCTGGTCTCACTGCAGCCTGGAGTGCAGCGTGTGGCATAGTACAGAAGTCAGAAAGAATTACGTACCTCTTGAGAAAGCCATAGCCATGGCTCCCCATCACCAGCAGGTCGGCTCCGAGCTTGTCCACCATGTCGCAGATGACGCTCCGGGCGTCCCCGACCGCCACCTTCACATCCACCTTCACCTTGCCGTTCTCTTTGCTGTGGAGCGCGCAGAGCTTCTGCGCCTTGTCCACCACCGCGTCCGCCACCGCCCGGCTGTACCCGTCGATCGCGGCGGTCGCCTCATTGGCAAACATATAGCCTAGCGGGGCTTACGGTGCAGGCCGGTTAGTCCCCGACGCCGGGATGAGCGTAGGATCGCTTCGTGAAGACAGAACGTACGTACCGGAGGCGTCGAGCACGGAGTAGGTGGGCGGCGTGGGCCGGACGTAGAGCAGGAGGATGGTGTCCGGTGGGGCAAGCTCGCCGTCGCCGCGCGCGGCGAAGTTGGTGAGGCACCATCGCAGCGCGTGGACGCTCTCGTCGCCCTCGTCCACGGCCACCAGTATCCTTCGGCCCTCGGCTGGATCCATCTCTTCTTCGCACTCGTCTATGCTTTGTGAGTCGATGGGTGCACTTTCTTGATGGAGATTTGTTGAAGTGCTGTGTGCAGGCGCGAAGGTTTATAGGAGTATGTTGCACGGTGACCGTGAGGATGGCTCGCGGTTTGGGGACTCGAATCCGCGGTTCTTTGGTGGAACCGGAGCTGCTACCCGTGGTTTTTGGCAGGTCGCGTGGCGCCGGGGTTTGCAGCGTGGAAGGCTGACAGGTGGGCCCCGTCTTTTTCTGGATAGGGATCAGGGATCTGGATTCTTCGTGTCTAGAGAGAGGCTGGACTTGTTTAAGGTAATCGGCGGCACATCGCGCGCTGTCGACACGCCCTCAGTTGCGGCAGGCCGCCAGTGTCGACACTCCGTGTCCGTGTGCCTGGTTTTCGGATGACACGGGACGCGTGTATGTGTGTGTATGTTCTAGGACTCGCTTGGAACGGGCTATGTTGCGCCAGAGCAGTATCTCGCAAGAGCAACTAATCGAGGAGATTGCCTAAAAAAAACTAATCGAGGAGCGCTTCTACGGAAGCCTACCCAAGGGTCATTTGAGGTGGCGCCATGCTCTCAACCGTCGTCACGTGTCACGTTTTAGGTACTCCCTTCAGATTTTATTTTTATTTATTTTTTGGCACATGTTTTTGGCTTTTTAAATGGTTTTTTCTTCTCGGTTTTTATCGATCTTTCTTTGCTTTTTGATAAAAAAGTCAAAAACACGCTTTTTAATTATTCATTTTTTTTGCTTCTGCGAGAGGCCGTGCCTCTCGAAAACGAACAAAATTAGTTTTCTTTTTTTCCTCCGGGAGAGGTATGGCTGTGCCTCTTGGAATCTGCTTTCGGAAAGGAAAAAAATGTTCCCGTTGTGGCTTTTCCGTCCATTTTTTATGAAAAAAGCTCGTCGAAGCCTATCAAATGGGTTCTAATTTTAAAGACCTCGACACGAGGAATCAAATGGTTAAAATGGTTCAAGATTTGGACACACGGTTTAAGAGATAAAATATTTTGAATAAACAGATCAACAAAAAAAAGGAAAACTCACAGGTTGCGATGCCACTTGTCGCAACCTCGGGAGGTGGATGTGATCTTTGCAAGGAGTACTCATCAATTAGTGATTTTAATATCTCTCTTATAACAAGAAGTACACACGGCTCGTCTGAAGGTTCTTCCCTTCGTCGTTATTTGACCAACCCGTTTTGTTAGGTTTTTATTCCATTCACCGTTCGCTCAGAGCTTCATTCGTTCGTGTTTCGACCGTTAGGTGTAGACTTTGGGGGGTTTCTTTTCAGTTTTTCTTCCACATTTTTATTATTTCTTCACGGGTTTTTTCAGGGGTTTTCCATCGTTTTCTATCTGTTTCTTTTCTTTCTCTCATTTTTCCTCATTTTTCTTTGGTTTTTCTTTAGTTCATTTCTTTGTTTATATTTTTTTATTTTACATTCTATTATATTTTGTTTTATTATTATTTTCCTTTCTTAGTTTTTAGTAATTTTCTTTGGTGTTTTTTCTTTTTCTTGTTTTCTTTGTTTCCTCGTGGGTTTTCGTGGTTTTCTTTCTGTTTTTTGCTTTCTTCATTTCTGTGGTGTTTCTTTCTTCCATTTACACGGTTTTCACCGCTTTTCTTTGTTTTTCTTTAACACATGTCTATACTGTTCATACATATTGGGACATTTTAAGTATAAAGCAGGAAATTTTCTAAACAAGTTTCACCATTTTTTAATACGTGATTAATAGTTTAAAAATATGTTTCATGACTACTTTTTCATACACATTGCAATTTTTTTGCATATAACAGCACATTTTTATGTTTAACATTTTTAAATATATTATATAATAATTTTAATACACTATCAACATTTTTTGAAATTTGTGTTTGTATGTTCAAAAATTTTAACACATTTTCTACATTTTTCTTATACAGTAGGAACATTTTTCATCCACATTGTACATTTTCGATATATATAATGCTTTATGCATGGTAATTATTTTTTGAAGTATATGATTAACATTTTTTCGATAGGTAATCAACGTTTTTTAAAAAATATATGTTTTCATGTTCAATTTTTAATGCACATTTTACATTTTTGCTATACATTAGGAACGTTTTTTATACCCGTTCAACATTTTTTCAATAGATGATTAACATCTTTTTCAAATGCTTGATTACCATTTTTTTAAATACATGATTAGCTTTTATCACACACATTGTATTTTTTTATACATTTTTCATATACATAACAAACATTGTTTCTATACGCAATTAACATTATACAAATGCTAGATTAACATGTTTCAAATGTCTTATGTAGAGTGTTTTTTGTAATAAATATTTAGAATATTTAAAAGAATAAACAGAAGTAAAAATATTAAATAAAAAATGTCAAAAAATGAGGTAGTAGCATCCCGCGAGCTAGTCTCACGCTCCCTCGGGGGGGACAGCCCTACATCTCGCGTCAAGCGAGACATGGGCGCACCTGCTATGTTGTTTGCGGGAGATAAGAGCGTCTACAACCGGACTTCTCAAACCCCCTCGTACATCTGGGCGGATGGTCCGGTCACTCACCAGTCACAAAAACCTTACACAGTCGGGCTCCTCAAACCAGCCCTATACATTCGGGCTGACCGACAGCCCTCATATCCAGCCCAAGTCGGGGGCGTATATGAGGAGGCCCGGGCGCACAAGGGCATGTCCGCCACATCGGATTCAATGGGTAGGACCCACCCCGAATTGCACCAGATTGACCAAGTGCACCAAATCCATCGCCCTCCTCCCACATCCGTCATCCATTTCCCATGCCCTAGCGGTCGCCGTCCTCCACCCTTGCTTTCCCATCCGTAGCGCCACCCCCACCCGCCGCCCTAAATGTCTTCGTCAGGTACCCCCCGTCCCCATCGTCGCAACGGATGTTGCCTTAGCGTCTTCCGTGGGGCTCCCGTCCATGGCTCCGAGCTGCAAGCCGGAGAACGTCGCTCAGAGGAAGTGGCGAAGGAAGCAGCGCGAGAGGGAAGCGGCGGTGCAGGGAGTTCCGGTCAAGGATATTGGGGACCTCGAGGATGATTGTCCCCTTTGTGTTTCCGTCCATCATGCCGCCGACAATAATGAAGTCGCTGTCCATCCCGCCGGCAATCAACATCAATCTTACGACCGATTAGGCAATTCCAAATGGACTTATGGAAACCTAGGGGGAGGACGGCGATGAGTGTGACATGCCACACCTCCAACGGGCACGGACAAGCATGGGTAGCGTCGGCATCCGGGCTTCCCTTGTCCGGTTTGATGGATTGTGCTCGCATGAGTGAGTACAAATTTTGCTCCATTCTGTATCTTTTTGTTAGTTATATTTGGTATGTCACATTGCATTGATTAGTTGAATATGCCATAAAATGAATTAGTTGCGGAATCATGATCATTTTAGGAGATTACATGCCCGAGATGATCAATGATGGTCATGAACCTATGGCTGATATGGAATATGACTTGTGGAATCCAAATTGTCGTGCATTCGAAGTTGGGGGAACATCACATAGTAAGAAGGAAAAATGGCGGAAACACCCAGGGCAAGAGGTCTTCCATTCATAGGATTTGAGGATATTTTGTTGGTCAAAGCTTGGTTTGCCACAATCATGGACCCTATATGTGGCACGAAGCAAAAGGACAACGGGTAGGGAGAAGATTCACAAGCACTAACACAAGGAATATGTGGCGCTGCATCCTATCATTACCACATATAGTGATGTCTCCCTCCAACATAGATGGTCCACCATCCAAGAAAACGTGTACAAGTTTGTCGACCACTAATCTTCCGTGCTTGGCCAGAATCAAAGTGGGATTGGAGTCCAAACTCACGTAAGTTGAATTGTAAACTTTGTCATAATTTGAATTGCTAGCTTTTAATGTCGGATTCTCATGATTACTTTTATTTTTTGAATGTTTGATAGACGGTGTTGGTTGCCGCTTTGATTCAACAAGTCGAGAAGAAACCAATCAGATTTAGCTATTGCTAGATTAAATTAAAGGGCCAACCAAAGTGGAACCGAGTTGTGGAAGACCTTAAGAATGACACCAAGCGGTTGAACACAAATGGTGGCACAAGCTCCCACCAATTGATTATTGGAGTGTTGGAAATATGCCCTAGAGGCAATAATAAAGTGGTTTTATTATTTTCCTTAATCATGATAAAGGTTTATTATTCATGCTAGAATTGTATTGATTGGAAACTTAAATACATGTGTGAATACATAAGCAAATACCAATTCCCTAGTAGGAGATCCACCAAAGCAGCCCAGATCTCCTCTCCTCATGCCATCCCTGTGGGCGGCCGATGGGAGCCCAGATCTGCCACCCCTCGCCCCTCCTCCCACCTCCGCCCCTCCTCGCTGCCGTCGGCGCAGGTCACCGGGCAAAGCCCTCTCAGCCTAGGCGGCGGCAGGGACTTCTTCTCCTCCTGCCCGAGGATGGCGGCACGGGACGCTTTCTTCTAGTGGCGGCGAGGCGCGGTCGTGGGGCGCGGCAGCACGACGGCACGGGCTGGCGGCGGTGGCTGTTGGGCGTATGTGGCGTCGTTCTCTCCTGGGCCAGCGGCGGGGTGTGGTGTAGGGCTCTCCGGTGGTGCGGCTGGGGCTTGTGGGCCGCCCTGCTGCTCGCGCGACGTGGCTGCTGGCTGGTCAGGCGGCGGAGGCCTGGAGCCTACTTCCAGTCCCCGGTGGAGATGGCAGCGATCCATACACAAGACTTGATGAAGGTTCTTCGAACATATCTGGGTGAAAACCTAGTGCTCGGCTAGTTGCCAAGGCCCGCGATTGTTTGGGAACGCAGTATTTCAAAAAAATTCTACGATCACGCAAGATCTATCTAGGAGATGCATAGCAACAAGAGGGGAGAGTGTGTCTACGTACCCTCGTAGACCGAAAGCGGAAGCGTTGAGTAACGCGGTTGATGTAGTCGAACGTCTCCGCGATCCAACCGATCAAGTATCGAACCCACGACA